GCTAAAATACTTCAAGAAAGGGCTCACTGCCAAAGGGCAACTGCCGAAAGGGGAAGTGGTCGGTGAAAGCGATTAGATTTTAACCGGAGACTTCCAAATTCCAGGTTCATCTTGACGACCATGTCACACTACCACCCTTGTTATTGTACGAATTTTCACTGAAGCGCAAGTTGTTCTTCATGTAACTTTAGTTAACCGACACAACGTCAGTGCTAATAAAGTCCCATTCAAAAAACTATAGAATGGCGGAATTTATTTTCATGGGCGCAGTAGGTTGATGAACCGAATGTATAACGCTTTTGCACTCCCGACAATCCGTGAATATTGATATTCGAACACTTTTAATTACTCCGTGCGTTGCATATTATCATTCGGCGTACCGCTTTTCCAGTTCAGTGACCTGCAGTGTTCTGTTTGTGTGCACAGTTTGCTGATAAAGAATTGAGTCCCATGATACGTACTTACAGCACAAACCAAATAACTTGCCCTATTTCATAACAAACGATTTCATCGAATCGGCTTATAAGTTTATCCGGAAAGAAGAGTTACTTTTAACGAAAAATAAAGTCCAAAAGAGATTAGATCCTTCGGAATAAGTAAAATTTTAAGAACGCAGTTGATAAAATATTGAGACTACATTTTGTATACAGTCAAGTTGGTCTAATTAAAAACTTTCAGGTTGAAAAATATCCTCATTTTCATGTTTGTCTTTGAATGTATGTAACTGTTTTATCAAAATAACTCCCATCGATTTGACTGTCTTTCTGAAGTTATAGTTGACAACGAGTAGTGCTGCTCTAATTCACTTTGACTCACAAAAGCGGCCAAAAGCCGTTCTTGTACATGAGAGCATAAAGGAAGAACTATATGCTTTTATATCAAAAATAACTAAATAGTGGTGGCCAAGCTCTGAAACAATAACTTGTTTAGCCTGCTTCAGTGTGGCTGGTAATTTTGCTCAGAATTAGGACGAAACCGTTTTTTGCCACCAACGTTAAACCAAAACGAAACAAGGTTTATCTATAATTGAATTTCTCAGATATCAGTAGGAACACACCGTTCATGTATATCAATAATCCTTGGGTGGGTACTTATTCTTTAGGATCTTCCACCATCTCTTCGGCATAGAGTCCATCAAGTTGCTAAGGAAATTAGTTCCTATCTCATGCTCCATCACATGTTCCATTTTTAACACCACTGGACAGTGTGCATTCTCCCTTTGGAACGGGACATTTTCGATTGCGTTTAAATCTAAATTATTAGGGGACAATGAAATGAACTGAATCCTCAAGTTGTGTACACTTTCATGAGATAAAACGTGAATAATGAAGTGACAAATTGCTTAGCATGAATAGATTTCCAAACTACTCGTGGCCCATGTCATGACAATTTATCCAGAAAATTACCTACCTACCATGATTGTATGTTTTGCTGAAATGAGGGAATTTATCAGCCACAACAGTGAAACCTTTCCAACCACTTACAATACCTCTAATTAAAGTCTATCAACAAAATTGGCCATGGTTTATTCCCATCCAGTTCAATGACGTTGATCGGTTTTGTATCTTGGTATTCTGCTGGTTACCGTGTAGGGAGAATTTCCCACTAGACTTTGTTTCACCCATCCAGGATCCATAACCCACTAAGCATTGGCCTGTAAAACAAACTCATCGAAAAAATGATGGTTCTCATGATTTCAATTCCCTGATGAAATCAATACATGCCCTGCTTTTCGGGTGTTCAATACAGCATTCACGTCACCTGATACTCACCGCATTTTAAATTGCCGCATCCTCAACTGCAACAGGAAGCAAGAGTATCTAGGACTATTTTCACGTTGGATTACGTACAGGAATCTACAGCAGTTTGTGGAGAGTAATATTTATGAAATCACCTTTCTTCAGTGTTCTTGGTCCTCTGTCTCTAAAATGTGCATTTTGAGGGAGTTCTTCTATGAATTATCCCATAATTTGTACCCCTATTTACAATAAAACACCGGAAAAGATCCGTCACCAGAAATCCCGAAATTATCAGCCTTTGCAATTCTACTTTGATCCCCTTCACTCGGCTGCCAGAAAAATTCAGTTGTCGTGGATCATTTCATCACTATCGCGATAAGCATATAGTGAGGCGAATGAAAGTCACCTTGATTCCATCGCTCACTCTCATGCAAACTGGAATCCCCTTTTTCGGCACATTTGACTGTCATCTTTTAGAAACATTTCCAAGCCACATATCACGAGAAATCTTCCAATTATGAAAGAACTTGCCTTGACACTTTCCAGTAGGCACAATAACAAAAAAATACTGGTTAAAACTTACTTCTACTGAACTCTTTAAATGGGGCGACGTTCTAAATATGAATCAGGACAATTACTTTGATCCTACATAATAATTTATTCACATTTCTTTACACTGGTAATTCTTGGCTGTCATTGCTCAGAGCGTTTTATCTTGGCAACTAAGGTCACATATTCAACTATTTATAGCTCCGTATAAAATGACTTCCAATGAGAGTAACTTTTTTAAATCTAGGTCATCCGCGGTAGTCGCAATTCACCTTAATTAAATTACAAACCTCAAGCACTATTCTGAGGAAACGTTTTAGTGCGTCACAATTAGTTATACTTCTTTTTCATGTGCATATGTGTAAAAAGAGTGATTTGTAGGAGAAGTGACATTTTCGTGCCCACATTAACGACTCATCTTGCCTGGGATCGTCACCCTTCAGGATAGTCCTACCTGTGACATCGAATAATCAAATTTTGTAAGTAACGTGCCCTTATCGCTAAACTGTTCGTCGGGCCGTTCACAAGAGATGGAGAGTGACTCCACTTTCTAGACCACTGTGGGACAATGTATCTGTAGAGCTCGTATGGCGCAGGCCGCAATTAATTCGTCCCGGAACTCGTTATTCTTCAATTTGAAATCGGAACTGCGTCGGGCCGGTACTGAATTTTAAATTTTAGGTGTATCACACAGTTTAAATATACAAATGAATATCATGGGACTGGGAGGTGGGGATGAGATTCGACTGGAATTTAGATGCACGTTTTAGCGTGCCAATAAGTAGTTGGTCATATCATAATAATAATACTCGCGGAGTACAGTCAATGCATAGCTGATGAACAGAAACTCGGACAAAAAGATCAATTCGGGCCTGTAATAAAGGGACTACGAAATGAAACAACAAAACAGAATAAAGAGAACCCACAGAATTCCGTTGGTTTTTGTTCTGTTGTCGATCGAGTGCATTTTGTTCGGACATTAATTTATCACACTTTCCTTAGAAAGTGTTTTCAGTGGCGATGAAATGGACGGAGGTAATCTATGATAAAAGCCTAAGGTCATTATAACCAAAAACTCATTTATAAATATATATATATATATTTTCATAAAAGTACTCCATTTGCCGGAGGCGTAAAATATTATGAATGTAAAACAAATCAGAACAGACTCAGAAAAATAATGGACAGGTGATTTAGGAAATACTGGGATATCGAATTCGTCTACTTCCTCCCATCATTCTCGGCCTATCTTCATTCATACTCAACACGTTTCACTTTTCAAATACAAGGAAGGCATGGAAGTTTTCAACTGCTTCCCGGTGAAACCCTAATCTGGTGATTTCAGTGTTTGGAGACCTGAGTCGTTTTACCCCGGAAAGAGTACAAATGTGGAAAATTGTGAAGAATTCATTTACCATCCTTGGTCGACAACGCACAATATATAAGTCCAAATTGAATGTAACATACAGACTGAAATTTCTTTTGTGATAGATGAATGATTTATTGTAATTTAACTAAAAACAGTGAAGGCAGAGAGTTTGTAGTAATTATTTCTGCGAGTAGAAAAAGGGACTTTTCTGTTTGATCAGTATCATTTCGCTAAAAGCTAGCAGCCCTAAATTCCGGATGCTCAAGCAAACTTTAAAGAGTCGTTTTAGGTGAACTGAATTGCTTTTTAAGCCAAGGGACTTCGCTGTGGGTGATGCTAAAATTCTTGTGTTTCCAAGTCATCGAACACAAAAGTCCTTCCTGGATTTATTGGAAGGTCATTTGAGCTAGGTGTCGTCACGCTCTGTCTTATGAACATGCCATTACAGCTGCATGTGATCTGGTAGACAACGGTTCAGACAGTCAGTTGGCAAGAGAGATACCGTGATCCTGGAACCTCAATTCTCCAATGTCCTGAACTAGACTTTGTTAAACTTCTCCGTGTGTATGATTCGGAAAAAAGTATGCTGTGCTTGTTAGAAAACTCGTTTGGTTTTTTTAAAAAAATATTAGAATGGTTTGTTTTCTTTCAGCTATGTCCACCATGTTTGGTTAGCCTAAAAGTCTGCTAAGACGAATTTTCAATAAAGTGTCTTCTTGTTTACAATCCGTTACTTTATCAAGTAAGAAAAGTTTTCGTCAAATCGAAAACAAATAGCTGAAGGTCTAACTAAAAAATGATTTATCTAAGCAGTAGCTCTTTTTTATAAAACAAAATGGTGTAGTAGTTATTCAGTAGAATTGGACCGTTGGTGCAAAATCTCACTGCTTGCCTTCCTTAGCTGAAGTAACATGCAGTACATCTGTTACGGAAGAGCTTAGTGAGCCTGATAACAAAGTGGTTATCTTAAGTACTTGATTAGGACAGTAATCGTGTGGTTTCAAACTTACTTTGATCAACTGCCCTGAAATTACTAACTAACTAGAGCACTTCAAATAAATACACGACAGATCCGGTTTTCAGTCTAGCTACTTTCTACCTTTTTCTCTCATTTTCTTCATCTCTCTGCCGCTCTCGCTCTGACCTCCTCACAACCCACTCTCTGATGGACGAATTTTCTCACAGACGAACGTGATCATATGCAAAAGATCCTGTTCACCAAATGGATCAATGCCCAACTCGGTTGGGACTCCGTGATCGATGGGTGTTTGCACAGCCGGCAGTTGGATCATCATTCACAGATGTACTCACAAAAAGCGGCCAAATTATGGGGTTTACGTGAAATGCTGTGTGTTCATGACTTGTTCGATGATCTGCGTGACGGTCGAGTGCTTTTGCGATTGCTAGAACTACTATCTGGCAAATTTCTCGTAAGTTAATATTTCGACGGGGTGAGGGTTTTCAAATACTTCTGAGATGTATCCACTTTTCATTTTTTTGAAATTTGAACCAGTTAGCAAAATGACGCATTCCAGAAGAAATTCAGTTTAAACGAAATACGTTTCAGTTACGGATTTGATGATGACTATTCAGTGAATGTATCGAATACCAAGAACGAATCATTTTAAAACGCTTATTCAATTGATGTCCCTGAAAAACTGATAATGTGCTGGCTAGACTGCGAAATTTTGGATGTCATCTTTTTTATAAAATCGGAAAGGAATTGTTGGAAACAAGATATGACCACTTGAGTTTGTACTTATATTTGTATGAAGGACTTAAGCAACTATTATCCAAACATTTCAGTCAGTACACGCAAAAATAAAATGAAACGAGCAAGATTTCACAACTTGTAAAATATTCGCGTAAGCACAGACTTGGAGTATACTTCAGTAAACGGGAGAGTTGGGGAAAACTGTACTAATCATTTTGTGAGTAACCCAACTGTTATCTTCTCCCTATTTGTTAGAATCCGAGTAAGATGGGGTAGTATGGAGGTTTTGTACAGATTTATTCCCAAGGAAGGGTGCTGGGAAACATAAAGGACGGCTGAGTAGTAGCGGCCAAAGGATAAGTCTGTGTAACGGTTGAACAGGGTCCCGCAGTATTTTGTGGGCTAGTGTTAAGCAAGACTAAGTATGCTGATCAACGTGTTTAGTCAAAAATTTGCCAGTGGGGATAAATGAAACGCAACTGCTAATCACCGATCCATGGAACGGGGCTTTAAGTTCCGGTTTTTGAAGGCCGGGGGAAAATAATGCAGGGTAGGAAGAACACAGGTAGTTTCGGACACTGGAGACAGTTATTCCGAAGTTCATCTTCTACATTTTTGTTTGAAAAGATAGACGTCGCAGTTTTCCCATACAGTTTTCGATATTAGTTGCTCTCCGTAGATTATCATGAGTCTATTCAGAAGTGCTTGACGAGGCTCACTATAGGTAGGAGTTTGGAGCTAACGAGAAGAGAATCTATTGCGAAAGGAGAGTGGAAATTGCTGGAAAACATTTAGGGCACTTGAATTGGCTTGGTTTCAAATCAGATTGAATGGAGGAAGTTCTCTATTTGAGTTAAGTTCTCACTGAAGTTTATCGTAGTTTCATTGAAGAAAGTTGCTAAGGGTTTCGCTAGCTGGGCAGTTCTGTGTCTGAGAATTTCAGGGAAGATTCCATCCGGAACTGCAGAAAACAAAAGTTTAGACGTAGGGAAAAATCTGAATATGTTAGACATGGAGAAAGATTTCTTGTAGTAGGAAGACTAAGTGAACTATTTCTAGAAGATTTGCATAATTCAATTCTTGGAAAAGGGGGTCGAACTGTTCGACGCGGAAAAGCATATCTTCTGATGGCACATGTTCAATTTACCAGATTCATTTTTTGTTCAGTGGTATGTTCAGCAGTTTTTATTCTGTGTGGCTATAAGTGCCGTGCGAAGGACATGACATGGTCCATCAAAGGTCGGCAGTAGTACCCCGGGATACCCGGTAATCACAGCCCTGAGACTTTGACTTGGGATTTACATGACGTCCGAAAAAGTCGCAGTTGGTAACGGGGTGAACGAGGGCGAATTACCAATCGTTTCATCTGCTATCAGATTTAGGCAAGATATTCATTTTCCACAAAGTTTTAGGACAAATAATAAGTAGAAGTTCTGATGGAGTTAACTGAGGCGAAAATCAGGTGACTGTCGAGATATATACAAGTGAGTATACACCCGTCAAAGAAACGCATCTCACGGAGTGGTACGCTTCCATCAATATCCATAGCACTACTTTGAATATACACTAACTGTGTTTGTAATGCAACTGAATCATTCATTGAGTTCAGGCTCATAGTCAAATCGAATGTGCGAACAAAGTTACTTCGTGGGCATTTTGTTTTGCACCGGCAACTTTCGCGTATAATTTAAATCCATGAGCTCTGTGTTATTGTTTTCAACGAGAACTTCTGAAGCGCTATCTCCTCTTTGCAACCCACTGGTGCCCAAGTTCTCTCAAGTCTAGCCAGAAAGCGTTAGCATACACAGTATGTTCAAAAGTGTAAGCGTGGCTAGGCAACGAACTGCTCCGGAACTGTCCAAGAAATACTACCCACGCATCTGCATGCAGTTAGTCTGCATCCGTGTAGGAGTGACTCGGTTACTAAAACGCCAATTTGATTGTTTTTTTCTTGAGTTCGTTGACTGCCCACGCATGGCCAGTCGTGCATTGAACTGAAGCCGATAACTAATTGTGTGTGTGTGTGTGTTCCTGGCGATGGATGAGTTGGGTAGCCTGGTGTGGAATACTCACACTGAACCATATTTTTAGTTTCGGGTGGTTTCATTTCTACTCCTTCCCAAATCCATTCCCTCTCATCTAGTTCCAGCACCACACTCGCTAGATCGTTTACCTTTTTGTGTCCACAACATCATTCACAATCACTATTATCTCGCTCTCAGCTATCCCTCGAAGCTTCACGAATGTTTCGAGCATGCAAGTAGTGCACCAATTACTGGGAACTGAATCCCTGTCTATTGATTGTCAAGTGGTTAGAAGAAGCAAGGTTGATTGCCATTGCAAGGTTTGCTCACTTTTATTCACAGTGACGGGTTCTCAAATTGTTCCGTTTCCGGTATTTTTGTGACGCAATGTCAACGCCCAACTCATAAGAATACTTACTGGGATCAAATAACTTTTTTATACACGGGCATTGACAGAAATCATTATCTGTTTTGCTTATGTAATAAATCGTAACTGGGACTCGAACCAAAAGAAAAGGGTTGTGAGTCAATTCCGTAACTTGAGCCGGCTGATATTGACTCTCTTCATGGAAACAGTGTATGCGATACGACTTGCATCAGTCAGTAGTTTTTCACATTAGCAACCTGTCGCCCACACAGTGAAGGTATTCTTAGGCAGTGCCATAGAAAATCAAGGCGCTTCGCTAACCTGCCTCCCTGAATTGACCCCCAATCAGTTTTCAAACCATTTCAGCTCACTAGTGAGAACGGTATTCTTTATATGGGACTCTGGGTGACCCTAACCAAGTATTGCACAAAACTGTTTGGTCCTACTGGTTTTTGGGCCTTTTCTTATGGCTGACTGATGATAAGGCCAATCACCACTTGTCAGGTTTGTGTTCCGAACTTGTCAATGAACACTATCCATCCATCACCCTGTCGGTGTTGAGTCCTGTGGCTCCAACCTTGACCTCAGTTCTGGACAGGCGAGGCATGCACATCACGTGACGCAATGTGACGGTTTTGGTCTGTCAGCATAGGCACACTCTCAGTAAACCAGTAATCAGTCAACATCCTGAGATCCATTTTAACATGGACGGCAACAAGGGTTAGGATACTTGTATTCCCACGGTAACACAAGTCAAGTCATGAAACACATACAGCCGTTTATGTAGGCCCTTTTCCAGAATGCGTGGCACCACGATTGCTATTTGCCGCTGCTTGAGTGCTTCGGCTGCGTTCTGTCCAGTTGCCCGTGGCCGATGGCTTGCTTCTCTTGACCGTCAATTCCCTTCGGTTGGCCCGACTGTCTCAGTTGACGGCTCGATCGGCTGGGCTATCTTGCTGGTTGCCGGAGATCCCACTGCTTCCTCTCTGGTAGTCCGTATGCCTCCCTTTTCCTGCTTCGGGAAGCCTCCGACATATTCGGCGCCTGTTCTTCTGTCTGTGGCCCTCGTTTGGTTCGTCCGTTCGCCTTGATGTTCACGCTGTTCTCTCACCCCAGCATTCCCTGTTACACTATGGAGAAGTACAATGAAGCGTTTAGACCAAAAAACTAACTGGTTAGAGATCTGTGTGTGTATGTGCGTGGCAATCGAAGATTTCAAACCAGTTTCAAGTCTCATTTGTCGATACTCATTAAGCGGGTGGATAGGAAAGGTTTACACTGATTCCAGTGATTGTTAGTAGTGAGTGGATTACTGAAAATCCATGAAGGACCAGGCATTATGTACCCAAGTTCTTTGAAACTTCGTCCACTTTGTTTTTCTGCAGGACGTATGTTTGGTGCATATTATCACTTTTATGAAACCAAACCAGGTACGATGTGGGCCACTGTGGAATTTTCCATTCACACTTTTGTGTACAAGGTATATACCTCATTTGACCATGAGTTATCTTACAGCATCCATAATTCAATCTTCAGTGATACCTATTGTTACGGACGCCCAATTTTGAGCTACATATAGACGTATAATTGGCCAATCAGAGTCACAAGTCAAAACCCGGCACCCCAATCAAGAAATCGATACATTGGGACCAAAACTACAAGAATAAGAAACTGTAAAAGCGAACTTGGTTACAAGCATCTTTGGTTGATCGTAAGCAACCGGGAGCAGAATAAGAACCGTTCGAAATGCTCAACCAGGTCAACGAATCCAAAATAGCCAACCGCTCTCCTACAACAAGTCAAATTGAGTCAGAATAGTAAGAATGACAACAAAAACAGGATAGAAAAAAGGGCCACCGATGATGGAACCTGGGAGCTATGAACAAGGGGCTATGGTTCAACCATGTTACGTCAGCAATCGTTATCCTGAGTGCAAAATTTCATTCGGTGACACAGTCACTCCTTCCTGTATGACATCGCTTCCAGTACATTGGTGAGGTCGAGGCAAATCTCTTGTTCAGTTGCTGGCGCTTATCTATGAGCTCAAATTTGTGCCCGATATCCTTCTAAAATTTTGACCGGGAGTGGACTTAGAGCTCAACTAGTTGAATATTGGATGAGGTTAAAAGAAGTACCGAAAGATGTATTTATATTGGTGGTAAGCAGCGTGCGAATGGGTAGACAAAATTTCTCCGGAAGCACAAGCTGGTTTCACGAGTGTTGCTACACCTCAGTTATGCGTACTCGGTACTCCTCAGTCCTCTCATTTTCATGCTAAACCCCTTTCATTTTTTCGGAATAAGGTCAAAATTATTCGGAAGTGAC